CTATTGATGACCTTCACCGCACTGTGGTGAGCGTCAATGACGACGAGAAAGCCAATGAAGGCAAGGGCATTATTGCCAACTTGGCGAAGTTGAAGTATGAGCTTCAGCACGACCGACAACTTACGTGAGCCCTTTTGTCCTCTATGCTAGAACTTTAAGAGCTTCATCTGACATGTTTATTATGGCTAGTCCCCTGGATGATGATGGACACCCAGATATTGCATCGTATAACAAGGAGCTGGAGGAACGCGGAAACCCCCACTGGCACGATGTGTCCTGGCTTTATTCAGAGTGTTACCTCTGTACGCCCAAGTCCCCAATTCACCAGGAAATGAGATAAACTACGGCAATACTGATCAGATGACCATAACAGACCGCCGCATGGAAGCCCTCTTTGCTCTTTCTAAGCATTGGAAGGGCTATGACGTGTTTGCTCGCCAGAAGATGGATACATTCAAGTCGTCTCGTCCCGCCGTACTCGAACTCGCTGCGAGGTACCGTGAATTGGCGATCGAGGCAGAGTCGGGAAAAGGAAGAGACAGCAAGTCGCCCGAGGAAATCGAGCAGGCAGAGAAGCTTCTCTTCTCAGAGATGTGCGAGATCTGCTTATGGGGTAATGCCACTGATTTGTCACTTTTGACATCTCTCACCTACGAGGATATTCAGAAACTACAGGGCTCTCAGGCGCGCAAAGCATCGCAGCAGAATATCATTGTCAACGACCTCGATGCTGCATTCGAGGCAATGCAAAAGGCACGGAGAGAGAAGAAGGATGGCGAGCGCCGCGTCGACATCGTTCTGGATAACTCTGGGTTTGAGTTATTCGTTGACCTAATTCTCGGTGGATACCTGCTGTCCGCCGGACTGGCAACTAGCGTCGTGCTCCACCCCAAGCGTCTGCCATGGTTTGTGTCAGATGTCACGCCGAAGGATTTCTCCGATCTGCTCAACAGCATGGTCGACCCGCAGGCCTTTTACACAGCAGCCGATGACTCGGGCAAGACCTTCCCCCCTCTTTCCGAGAAGGAGGTTTCCGACGTGAAGTTCCTCTTTGAGCAGTGGAGCCAGTTCCACCAGGATGGTAAGCTGATTCTGCGCCCGCACGCTTTCTGGACCACCCAGGGCGGTTATTGGCGCATGCCATCGGTGGCACCGGAGCTGTTCGAAGATTTGAAGGAGAGCGAGCTTGTTTTGTTCAAGGGCGACCTGAACTATCGGAAGTTGGTCAATGATGTAAGTCCGGCATTCATTACTTTTCCTTCTTTTGACATTTGCGTTTCTTGCTCACAACATCCAGGCTCAATGGGATCCAACCACTCCTTTCACAGAGGCCATCGGTCCACTTGGCCCCAAGTCCGGGATCCGTGTTCTAGCCTTCCGCACTTGCAAGGCTGATACCGTTGTCGGTCTCCCCGCTGGCGTAGATGAGAAGCTCCGTGCACTACCAGGAGGCGGTGGCTCCGAGTCTCGCAAGTGGGCCTGGAGTGGAAAATGGGCCGTTGTGTCGCTTTCTGATGGCAAGGCCTGAGATCACACTACACTAGGCACGATCGACCGTGTCCTACAGCAGACTTGAACACCGTCGTGCCCGTGATAAACATGTGAATATGGAACCTTTGGAGCTAGGGTAGTAAAAGATCACAGCTAGAACTAGACGAATTAATACTTAATCTAGATTGTGAATAAAGGTATTTTATGACGCAATATCCATGTACATATCTAGCCCAAACGACGAGAGAAGCGAAGGGCTTGGTATAAGAGATACCGCTGCTCCAATCATTAGAGTTATCTTAGTAGGTCTATTGTCGACTCTCGTCAAGCGAATAAAGAGCGGTGACTATATACTGTATACCAACATTGGGGAGTTCCCCGTCATGAAAGCTTGACAAGGACCCAAGGATCCTTGTTTGCAGGGGCTGGGACGCCGCTGATACCTAAGGGATCAATGGGGTCTGTTGAGGAACCTGGTGGAGAATTTGGGAACAGTGCATACGAGCGGTCCTGACCGAGAGACTAGAGAAGAGTCACTGATCAGGCAATAATTCAACAATTGTCTTTTCGCTAAAAACGTAGAGGGCAAAAAGGGGATGAGAAAGAGTAGCGCCTATGAACCCGAACACCATCCCATCATGCTCCAAAAGCCACTCCTTATTTCCAAATTAGAAAGCGAATACAAACAAAGAGCCAATTAGCGTCACTTAACGTGACCAAAGACTCAAACATTCTCCTTTCCAGATGCTTTGGCTTTACGACTGTCCTTCTGCCTGAGCCGTGACTTGGCAGCGGCAATTCGTTCAGGAGAGAGAGCTTCACGCTGGAAATCACTCAGCCCGTACCGCTTGCCCACACGCTCGCCCGCTGAAACAGTGTACGCTGAATATCGGCTGCGAGATGGGAGGCCTGACATTGAATCAAGGGTAGATTTGATGTGGGTCCGTTCGCGTTGTGTCTGTCGATTGCTGAGTTGAGTGTCGTCATCAGCAGGGAGGTTCAGATTCCGATAGGCCCGCTGGCCTTCACCGAGTCGGCGTCGTGAGAAGGTGCGATTCAGCGACTTCAAGGCTGAGATATCGGGAGGTGAAGATGGAGGAATTTCATCCAACATAGCATTATGGGATTCATGCCGTGGCTTCAGTAGAATTTCGTTTAGATAATGTGTGACTTCGTCGTCATCTGTAGCCATATCTATGGCTTTCGGCCTTGTACCAATTGTACCTAATGTGGCACTGCGCAAAGTAGGTCGCAAATCGCGTACTTTGGAGCGTGGACTCGGGCTTGGGGGAAGATCGATATCTTCGGTAGGTTCTTCTTCAGGTTTCTCAAGATCTTGAACGGTAGAATCCTGGTCGGCAAAGTCAAACACCTGCACGTTCGTGTGATCTTTGCGAGGACTTAGGAATTGCCGTTCCGTAGAAGGTAGTGCTGGGAAGCGTTCAGCAGAGCCTAGTCGGAGCTTCAGAAGGTCAATCTGTTTCTGCATGTGGCGGCGCTCTGTATCAGAAGTATTTCTCAAATTCTCCTCCGAGGCACGATGCTCCTGAGAGACAGTCTTGAGCTTTTCTCTGTATTCTTGGATCCGTTGCTCCAGTCTGGTTTCTCTCTGCTTCAGTCTCGTTTCCTTGTCCTTTCGCCGACCTTCATAGCGGGACATTTCCTGCTTCACTCGGGCTAGCGTTTGTTTCAGAGTGTGGTTCTCTTTCTCAAGTGCTTGTGCTTTCTTTTCTGAGCTCTGTGCAAGGTCTTGGAGTGTGCTCAGTTCGGACTGCTGGTCTTGCATCTCCTTAATCTTGGCATTGGCTTTTTCTAATTCTTGCTGTGTTCTGCGAAGCTCGTCCGTCGGGGTATTTGAAGGCAGTTCTTCCTTTTTCTTTTGTGTGATATTTGCCCCATCGCCTACAACATCATGTCGTTCCAGGGCGTTGCGCAGCGAGGTAACTTGCTGCTTGTATTGTAATGCGAGAGCGGTTTGTTTGGTCAAGCCTTGAACCAAGTGCTCCTTATCGCCTGTCAATCCCTCGCCGACCATTGCAGAGGCAAGCCGTGATACCTGCCTTTCCATCTCGGCGACCTTTTCTTCTTCTTCCTTGAGCTTATCGGCCAGCCGCATAGCTTCTGTATCCTTCTTGCGAGCGTAGGATTTGGCAATCGACCGGTAATGGATCAATTTCTTGATCTCTCGATTGGTCCTCACACGGTAATTGTCGAATTCAGTTTTCCAGTACTTGCCTGACTCTGAGTGTGGGTCTTCCAGATTGATGGTGATATCTTCATTGTCGAGGATTTCCTTCGACCCAGAGACTATGACGGATTTCGCTTCGCCTGTGCTCTCATCAGACTTGGCCGGCTCGGAGTTCTTGGACGCGTTATCGCGTGCATTCATGAGTGTTTGAGTGAGTTTGCTCCTCGGCTTGCCGCTGCCATCTGATGATCCGGACATCCACTGAGTACTGAGGGTTCCGGAAGGATTTGGCGGAGTCTTGGCTGGCTTACTGGCCGAGCCGGGGCGTTTCCCCTCATTGTCGACAACGCTCTCGCCAAATGATACCGTCTTGCGACGCAATGAAGTTCCGGGTGTAACGAGTATGCTTTTCGTAGGGGATCCTGTGGGGTTGTAAGCCGCGTCGGCTGGTTTCGCGTCGATGTTGATATCTGTTGGTGCTAGTTTTATCGTATCACTTTTGCTTCGTTGGTGACCGGGCTGTTTCTGGGACGCGTTGTTTTCATCCTCTTCTGCCCCCGGAGTGCCAAACAGAGCACTCTTGAAAGCACGAATCGCAAAGACATGGCCTGGAGTCTCAGGGGGTTCTAGCAGCTTGGAGTCATCTGTAGTATCATGTTAGAGCAAGATCTTCAAAAGTCAAAGTAATCACCACACCTGTAGCCTGTAGGTTTTGCTCGTTCCCCTTGATCCAGTCCAGCATTTTGACTGCCAGGGAAGAAACCTGGAAATCCTTAAGACCAAGTTGAGGTCCAATGTTTATGGTCCGCGCGGTCGGGAAAAGCAGAAGCGCCGATCACTTTATCGATAAGCTCGTGTTCGCACGTCTGGCACTGGTTTTTGTTTACACTTGGCACTTTTTTGGGCCTTTTTAAAACTAGGATATCTGGGGGTTTTTCTTTTCTTTCCTTTTCATTCGCCGAAGTTGGTTACCATAAGGGCCCTGTTGATCTCCCTACTCCGTATATTGCAGGTGCATGTATACTGAGTGCACACGTGCGTGTGCAAAACGACATACCCCGAGTACTTGGCATATCAGCCCTGAAGTCTACTACCTTCCACTATTGCAGCCTACGTCAATTCTTCGAATTCTGACTGCTCTTAGGGCATCTCACAAATATCCTTTCTTCTAGTCTTGTATAAAAATCCCTGGATTCTGGTCTTTCCCCAAACTTCGAAGACTATAGTGTGTGGTCCTTTACAGCGCTTAAATCCTTGAATTTTTCAAGCCACCACAGATACAACGCAAACATCAAACATAAGACTGGCTTGGCACAGCAAAATGCTTCTTTCTCATTCGGTTGTTCTCCGCATAGCTGCCAGCGCTATTGCAACTACGTTTGTCGGATTCGGTGTCAACGCTATTCTACGTCCAGACCATGCTCTCACTTTCTTCGAATTTCAGCCACCCACCTCCGTAGTAGACAAACAAATGTTTGACAGTCTAATGGCAATCTACGGAGTCAGGGATATCTTTATGGGGGCTGCCATATATGTGGCTTCGTACTTCGGCACCCGTTCAACCCTGGGCTGGATTTTGCTTGCCGCTAGCAGTGTTGCATTTGCAGATGGGTTGATTTGTTTCACCCATGGACAGGGACAGTGGAATCACTGGGGATACGCACCAATGGTTGCTATTGCTGGTAGCTTGTTGCTTGGTGTCTTCGATCGTATGTGATATGTGATGGTCACAGCTGGAACGGGGATAACACGAACAGCAATGATCGACTATTGCGGTGACAGTAATTGCCACCATTCTCGGTGTATGCCAGCTCACCAGCTCACCACCTCATGATATCTGGGTCCACTATTGGGCAGGGACAATGGTGCTTTGGTTTGACGATGATGATATCGTCAATCTCAAGTTCAAGACACATGAGAATACTTACTAAAGACTTTGAAGTGAACATAACATACAAGAATAACGAAATGCAATCAAGTACAATATAAGCAATAAATCTAGAAATCCATAAATCCACAGTTAAACTAATAGGACGTCATTTATACTAAGCATCTCCACTCTATAAATGGAAGGGCGTATGATCTGACCGCCTGTTTATTCTAGCCTCAGAGGGGGAGAGAAAAAAAAAGACTGCCCAATTCTTTTTCCACCTCCCATAACCCTTTCACCTTTCATCACCAACCCCCATGTCGTACGACGCTCAGGGTCGCATGTAGGGCGAGCTCTCGCCACGCCCCGCGATGTCTCCCAAACAGAGGAAAAAGCCCTCCCGCCAGAAAAAGCAAACCTCCGATTCCTCCGTGACGTCCCCCATATTTACAACCAATTATCGAGAAATTCACCAGACAGAGGCGGAAGCTCTGCGTTCAATCTATGGCGATGACTTTGAAGAAGTAGAAAATAGGCGGTCGGCCTGGCAGGTGGGTGCACTCTTCTGGCTGTTTGGGTCATTCGTAGTCACTAATCTGTCCATTTTAGCAATCATCCGATGTGACATTCAAGCTTCATTTACGATCCTCCTCGAATCCAGATGTACTCCTCATTTTGTTAGTTGAACTGCCAGCTACATACCCTAAAACAATCCCCAATCTTTCACCGGGAAACCTCGATGGCTTTCGCGATGGAGCGCGTTCCCGAATACAAGAAATTATACGGAACAAGCCAAAGTCTCTGCTCGGAAGCGAGATGATCTACGAGCTGGCAGTGTCCATTCAAGATGTTCTGGAGGATGTTGCTCAGGCACAGGCACAAGATAAAGACCTCCCTAGCCTTGAAGAGGAGCGGATGGAGCAAGAGGCGGCTGCTCTTCAACGCGCCGACCTAGAAAAACAAGAGGAACTTCGCAAGCTGAAGGCTGCGGCTATCGAGGAAGAGCGCGCATTACAAGAAATGCTTCAAGACAAGATGCGACAGCGGAACAAGGCTCGTATTTTGAGACGAAAAAGTCGAACTGGCGGCGCAGATATGAGTTATGTTGATGACCTAGGGGAAAATACACCTGGTGCTATCTGCTTTGATCCTCCGTTGGCCGTTAGCGACACCGATGAGCAGCCGCTGGTCTTCCGCGCCGTTCATGGCAAGACTCTGCTGCAAAGCAAACAAAGCAGAAAGACCTTTACCGTCAGACCTGTTGTGTCCGAGAACCGATGCCATGTCCCGCTGCTTGTTTTGAAGGAGCTTTGCCTTGGCGAGAAAAACTCCGAAGGATTGGCATTCCGCGAGCAGATGCGTACCAGTGAGGATAAGTTAGAAGGCATCAAGCGATTGCGACATCCGAATCTTGTTGAATTCGTTGGGTTTAAAATCAATCGTCCAATTGGCCAATTAGATTCATCCGATCACACTTGGACTGTTTTTGCGCTTTTGGAGTATGCAAACAAGGGTTCCCTTTCTGAGCTCCTGGATATCGTGGGGACTGTAGCTGTTGACATGCTTCGTGGTTGGATGATTCAGTTACTCGAGGCTCTGGAGTTCTACCACCGCAGCGGTTTTGTGCATGGGAACATCCACTGTGGCCGAATCTTTCTGTTCAGGACTCCTTCTGGTGAAACTATCGTTAAACTACAATCTAGCGTCGAAGAAGCTTTACCTGACTCTCCCTGTGGAAAGTCCTCGTTCGCAGCGTCAAAATCACCACTTTGGCTACCCCCAGAGCTGACACAGGACAGTTCGGCTCCTTCCATGAAGACCGATGTCTGGGATCTTGGAATTGTGCTGCTTCAGATGGCCTTTGGAAAGGATGTTCTCCTCAGGTACACCTCCGCCAATCAGTTGATGGTGTCTATGGGACTCTCGCCACCCCTGCAAGATTTGCTTTGTGAATTCTTCCGCCCGGATCCCAGGAAGCGCCCAACTGCCTTTCAACTCCAACCGTCTGAGTTCTTCCGGGTGGATGCGCCGTTAAAGATGCGAGAAAGAGCGTCAGGATCTGTGTCCGTGCAGAGACGGCCACGACTAGACTCTTTTGGAGCCATGCCAGCTTTCTCACGATACCACCAAGACTTCGACGAGGCAGGTCAGCTAGGCCGTGGTGGATTTGGACAGGTAGTCAAAGCCCGGAACAAGCTTGATGGCCGATTGTATGCAATAAAGAAGATCTCCCAAACATCAGCCGCGGCGCTGAAAGACACGCTTTCCGAAACCATGTTGCTATCTCGGCTGAACCATTCCTATGTTGTCCGGTACTACACTGCCTGGCTTGAAGAGGACTTCAATCACATTGAGGAAGAGGCTATGTCCTCCACCGAAGGTGACCCATTTGCTAGCCAGGATCACCACGGATTCAGTACAGGCGGCCTCGATTTCATCAGCTCTAGTGGATATCCGAAAATAGAGTTTGCCGCATCAGACAGCGATGATGAAAACGAAGGAACACTATCCGACCCTGCTCACCCAGAGACGCCAGTGAGGAACGGAGTCGATGATACTAGCGTTGATTCCGAAAGTGCTGAGGAAATTGAGCTCAGTCGAGCGAGATCTGGCTCTTATGCAAGGCCTATTTTAACCACACTCTACATTCAGATGGAGTACTGTGAGAAACATGTAAGTGTTTTAATATCAGTCTGCTTGTTGTCCTAGACTAATATTGTCCCCAAGACCTTGCGCGATCTAATAAAGGATGATTTGTGCGATGATAACGAGCGTGTATGGCGTCTCTTTCGGCAAATTCTCGATGGCTTGAGCCATATCCATAGTCACGGAATCATACACCGTGACTTGAAGCCTGACAACATTTTCATTGATGTTGCAAATAACCCCCGTATTGGTGACTTTGGTCTTGCAACAAGTGGTCAATTCACCACAGCGGTGCGTTCATCCGCAGCTGCTGACTTCGAAGGGGACTTCACTCGCAGTTTGGGTACAACCTACTATGTGGCACCGGAGATGAAGTCAGTTGTTTCAGGGCACTACAATGAGAAGGTCGATGTGAGTAATGAACATGCAATTGGTACCACGAATATATGCTCATGCGTTCTAGATGTTTTCACTCGGTGTTATCTTCTTTGAGATGTGTCATCCATTGCCAACTGGCATGGAACGAGATCAAACTCTTCGAGAAATCCGAGAAAAGGACCATACTCTTCCGCCCACTTTCCAACAATCTGATAAGTTGCTCCAAGGCGAGATCATTGAATCTCTTCTGAGTCATACCCCGAGCGAACGTCCCACAGCCTCCGACCTTTTGTCCAGTGGAAAGATACCTCTTCAGGTCGAGGAAGAGACTTTCAGACGGGCTATTGTGCATCTACTCTCGGATCCAAATTCACCTGACTATAAAAAGATTCTATCAGCCATCTTTTCTCAGTCGCCTAAAAAATTCGAAGATATTGCTTGGGACATAGACTCACATGCGGCACCGGCAGCCAATGAGCTACTTGTCCAGGGCCTGGTCAAGAAGAAGCTTACCTCGATATTTCGAAGACATGGTGCTGTCGAGTCAACAAGGCAAATGCTCTTCCCTCGATCCCAGCATTACAACAACGGTGCGGTACTGCTGGATGCATCCGGCAATCTTTTACAGCTGCCATACGATCTCACACTTCCAAATGCACGAGCGATTCCAAGACAAGATCGCTCACTGGAGAAGACATTCGCATTCGGAACAGTCTACAGAGAATCAACTCATGGCAGCGAACCACGAACTCACCGCGAAGTTGACTTCGATATTGTCTCCTACAACACCCTGGATCTAGCCTTAAAAGAGGCAGAAGTTATCAAAGTTTTGGATGAAATCATTGAGGAATTCCCCCCTTTGCGATCTACTCCGATGTGCTTCCTTGTCAACCACTCCGATCTGCTCCAACTGATCATGGAATTCTGTCGCATTACGTCTACCCAAATTCCCAAAGCCAAGGAGGTTCTCAGTAAGCTGAATGTTGGAAAATATACTATGCAAAAGATTCGAAGTGAACTCCGGGCCCCCGCAATTGGTGTTGCTTCAACTTCACTGGATGACCTTGCCCGTTTTGATTTCAGAGGTACTTAAACTCACTTTCGCAGATTAGTGACAAGACGCTAATGAATATGGTACAGACTCATTGAAGGAAACACAACGCAGGCTGCAGAACATCATGGAAGGAACTGAATACGCAGAGCGGATTCCACCAATATTCGCTCGCTTGAACGTGCTCATGACCTATTTGCAGAGTTTCGGCGTGAAACGGAAAATCTACATCAACCCACTCAGCAGTGTTCATGACAAGTTCTACCGCGGTAGCATTCTGTTCCAATGTATTTTCGATAGCAAACGACGCGATGTGTTTGCTGCAGGTGGCAGATATGACCGGCTGATTCAGGAATTCTCACCTAACGTCCTATCAAACAGACCACAAGCGCATGCTGTGGGTTTCAACCTCGGCTCGGATCGACTACGTTCATCGATGATCGACTACCTGAAGGTCAAGCCCCCATCAAAAGATTCTGAAACAAGTGCCGAGTTGTACTGGGCGGCTCGTCGGGTAAGTGACCTCCTATCTCTACTTGTTTGATGTATTTTTTGCTGATTTTCAATAAAGTGTGATGTACTTGTTGCCAGCTTTGATGCAACCGTACTCCGCACAACAGGAGTCAAACTTATCGAAGAACTCTGGTCAAACAACATAAGCGCGGAGCTTGCAGTCGATGCCTCGTCCCTTGAAGAGCTTCTAGCAAAATACAAAGACTCCAATCATCGGTGGATTGTCATCGCTAAGCAAGATAGCAAGGAGCGTGGATTTAAAGTTCGGAACCTGATGCGTAAGGAAGAATTCGATATCCGCGCCGCTGAACTTGTGCTGTGGCTTCGATCGGAAGTACAGGCGCGCCACCATCGCGAGGGAACGGCTGATCCCCGGCAATCCCGTCAATTGAGCCAGCAGGAGGCTCTTGCATCCCAGGAGCGGGCAAATGATGTTCGAATTCTCATCCCCCAGCATCGAAGCAAGAAGACGA